ACTGGCCAATCCCACCTCTGACTGGCCCCGCCCCCATCTATTCTCTGCCTCCCATTGAGTCCCAGCTGATTGGCTGGGTCTCCTTTTGTTGCCCTGCACAGGAGAACGGAGCTGGAAAGCAGGTTAGTGGGATGAGGAGGGAATGGAGATTTTGCAGTATCCTTCCTCCAGGAGTGGGGACAAAATGGGGATTTTACAGTCTCGTTCCCCTGCCATCCCACCAAGCCACACCATGCCCACCAAGCCATGCCCACAGAACTGGTAGTACAAAAATTTTGAATCCCAACCCTGGTTTCTAGCCTTAAACCAATCCAAACAGTGGGGATCAAATCCACGCATCTTAAAGGTTGAGGAACACTGATATAGGGCTGTGCATTTCATTTTATTAATATCCCTCCTTTATTATTGATAACCAATTTCATGGCAGCAAACATAAACCATACTCCTTCCTCTTCCTCTTTTTTCCCACAACAACCCTGTGAGGTGGGTTGGGGTGAGAGAACGTGACCGGCTGAAAGTCACCAGCTGGTCATAAGTTGATGACTACCTTATTCCGATAGCCCTTAGACTTATATACCGCTTCACAGTACTTTACAGCCCACACTGAGCGGTTTACAAAGTCAGCCTCTTGCCCCCAACAATCTGGATCCTCATTTTACCCACCTCGGAAGGATGGAAGGCCGAGTCAACCTTGAGCCTGGTGAGATTCGAACTGCCAAATTGCAGGCAGCCGGCAGTCAGCAGAAGCAGCCTGCAGTACTGCACTCTAACCACTGCACCACAGTGGCCTATGGGAAAAATTTGTTTGGTGCTCAGGGTTTGTGGTACTCATCGCGCCTCCTGGAACCAATAAAGGATGAGGGCCAAGTTGTAGCAAGGGGGCCAATTGTCTTCTATGAAACGCTTTACCAATTCTATGCAACAACCTCTTAACTTTCAGTCCCAGCATTCTTGAGGCAAGAAATTAGGAAGTGAATTCAAATGGCTAATCCAGGATTAGAAGATATGGAAACCAGCAACGGCCAAGGGAATGCATGTTCATCTCTTAAAAGCGAGTTTAACACCAAAATAGGAAAACAAAAAAATCCACAAACTGTGAGCTCAAATGAAAGAATATTCCTTGACAGTTGAGAATTTGCAACTTTCCCTCTCATTATCTTCCAGAAAAGCATATGAAAGGCAGAGGTCATTGGTCGATTATGCAAAGCTGGGAATAAAGAAAAAGTGAACCATGTTTTGCTCCAACTAGTTTCGCTTTAAATTTGACAGCAAATGGGACACCATATGTCGGACAGCTGTCTAAGCAAAGTAAGACTTCCAAAAAGAAAGAAAAAATAAGAGGAATACAAATCCCCCAACGCAGAACCCAAGAATCTGGATTTGCAAGATGGGTGGTTAGCAGGAAAAAAGCAGTAATGTGTCAAAAATCCATTCAGGGCAGAAGTGGTATTCAGCAGGTTCTGACCACTTCTGGAGAACCGATAGCGGAAATTTTGAGTAGTTCAGAGAACCGGCAAATCCCACCTCTGACTGGCCCTGCCCCCATCTATACTCCGCCTCCCATTGAGTCCCAGCTGATTGGTTGGGTCTTCCTTGGTTGCCCTGCACAGGAGAACGGAGCTGGAAAGCAGGTTAGTGGGGTGGAGAGGGAATGGGGATTTTGCAGTATCCTTCCCCTGCCACACCTACCAAACCACACCCACCAAGCCACGCCCACAGAACTGGCAGGAAAAAAAATTGAATCCCACCACTGATTCAGGGGTCTATGGCTGATTCTAACTAAGCTACAAGTCGCCCTTGAATTAACAACCGTTCAAGGCTACAACGCAGTGGTGGCATTCAATTTTTTTTACTACCTGTTCTGTGGGCGTGGCTTGGTGGGCGTGGCAGGGGAAAGATACCGTAAAATCTCCAGTCAGAGGTAGTATTTACCAGTTCTCTGAACTACTCAAAATTTCCACTACCGGTTCTCCAGAACTGGTCAGAACCTGCTGAATACCACCTCTGCTACAACAGTATTGGAAAACGTGGTTTACAACTCATCCTTGCGCTTACAACCACTGCAGCTTCCTTGAGGTCCTGTGATCTTGGTAACGGGTATGTGTTTAGAATGGTTGCAAGATCATGGAGGATCACACGATTGCCATTTGTGACTGTCCCAACCGGCTTCTGACCAGCAAAGATTAGATTAGATTAACAGAGTTGGAAGGGACCTTGTAGGTCATCCAGTCCAACCCTCTACCCAAGCAGGAGACTCTACACCATTTCTGACAGATGGCAGTCCAGTCTCTTGTTGAAAGCCTCCAGTGATGAAGCTCCCACAACCTCTGAAGGCAACTTCTGTTTCATGGGTTGATTGTTCTCACTTATTTATAATCTCCTTATTTCCAGGTTGAATTTCTCCTTTTTCAGTTTCCATCCATTATTCCTTGTCTGGTCTTCAGGTGCTTTGGAAAATAGCTTGACCCCCACCTCTCTGTGGCATCCCCTCAAATATTAGAAGGCTGCTATCATGTCTCCCCTGGTCCTTCTCTCCACTATCCATGCCCAGTTCCTGTAACTGTTCTTCGTATGTTTTAGTCTCTAGTCTCTTAATCATCCTGGTTGCTCTTCTCTGCACTCTTTCTAGAGTCTTTTTCTAGAGTAAAGTAGATCAGGGAAGCTGGAGTCCTTGAATGATCCCAGCAAATAACGCTGTAAAATCAGAGGTGCTTCACTACCCCTCAGAGTTACTCTGTGGCAAAATGGGCTGCCAATAAATTTGATATAAATAAAATAAACTACCATGCTGCTTAACGATGGAAGTTCCAACCCCAATTGTGTTTGTAAATCAAGGACTGCCTGTATAATTTTGCTTCCTGCAAAGGTTTCGTCATCTTGGCCTGACTTTTATCCCTTATGGGAGGAGCAATCACCTCCCAGCCTTACTCCAGTGTCGCCCCTTTTGTTTCAGCTGCTCTTGCCTTCTAGCAGCTCTGCGCATACGCGCACTGGGAACAGGCTCCCCTGGCTCCTCTGCCTCGCTGCTGCCAGACTCCAAAGGCTCCGAAGGCAGCACCCCACTCCCAGATGGTCCTGGCCCCATCCCTGCATCAGACGCAGGACGCTCGTCCGAGTCCTCTCCAGACTCCCTGACTGATCCCCGTTCTTCACCACTGTCTGATTCTGCTGCTGTCCGCATCAGCTGCCGGCGAACCACAACAACTACAGAAGGTGGTGAGCACAGCCCAAAACATCGTGAGCTGTCCCCTGACACCACTAGATGACATTGCTGGGGCCCGTTACCTTAGAAGAGTGAGGAAAATCCTCAAGGACGACTCACACCCTGGTCACCACTTCTTGATACTCCTATCGTCAGGTAGGAGATATAGAAGCCTAGCCAGCCACACCAAAACAGGCTGAAGAACAGTTTTTATCCATGGCCTATCAGACTCCTGAATGGAAAAATAACTTTACAACAGCATAGTGACTTGTGGGACGACGGTGCAATCAGTGTTAGTTGGTAGGATTCACTGGGTTGGGGATTTTCTGTCTTTTGCTGTGAGCTGTATTGTGTTGAGTGTGTGCGCACGAAGGGAGGTTCAGCCAATCTCATCGTACACATGTGGCACTCTGACAATAAAGGTTTGAATTTGGAAAGAGGCAAGCCACACACTGTGTCACTTCAGGGGGAAGGATGTTGCCCCGGGTATCCAGCAGAGAAATATGGTCAGATTCCTGGCCTGCAGCTGGAAGGCCAAAAAAAGGAAAGACCCCCCCCACCAACACCCTCCATGCAGACGTGTTCACAGGTAGTCTTCCTCACGGAGAGCACTTTCCTTTTATGGAATCCTCCAGCTTGTCGATAGACCTTCAGAAATGGAAATAATTTCTAGCTGTGCTAGAAATCCTCTAACTAAATACATGTATTAGGAGTTACAAATATACATTTACTAGCTCTTTACCTATGCTTCTCTATGAAACTATGTGGTCGGGCTTAGTTTTTGGGGAGGAAAATAAGGGGAAAATTTTTTGCCTCTGCCTACCAGCATCCATCAATATTCATCTGGCTAGCATCCTGTCAGTGTGTGAGAGAGTTCAGGGCTGTTTGGAAACTGAAACAGTATTTGCTGTGTGAGCAAGAAGGAGACAGCAAGGAGCCTGGGCGTGGCTTAGCTCCACTGTTTGGTGCTGTGAAACTAAAACTGAAACTGAAACTCCTCTCCTCTGCTTGTGTTTTGCCTTTGGAACAAATTTCTTTTCAGGTGGGGATGGGGGGGAAGAACTCCTTAGCATCAGAGCGTGTTAATAATAATATACAAAATTCTAATGCTCTGATGGTCATTTCGAAAAATCCTTTCTTAGTGAGCACCTAGACGCCAAGAGGAACTTATGTGCCAAATTTCAAGTTTGCAGGCTTTGCGGTTCTGGAGATTTTGTGATGATGCGTGAGTGGTCTTTCATTTTTATATATATAGATTTAAAGATTTTATATACTGTATAAAGATGGCTTTTCCCAACCAGGTGCTCCTTAAATGAACCGATCTTCCATTCCCATCATTTCCACGACTGGAGAATTCACTTCAACCCAGCGAGAAAACCATGGCTGGGGAAAAGGGTCTTCAAATTCTTCTAGAAGACCTCATGATGCCCACCCTCTCTTCAGTTTTGGACAGCTATGCTTTAATCCAGGGGTCTTCTAAACTTGGCAACTTTTAAGACTTATGTCTATGGCCAACTGGACTTTTGTTTTTCCGTGAAGAACCAAAGACACTTCCTTGGACGAGAAGCGAAACGTTTTCAAGGAAAAGCTGCCTTTTGAAAAAGCACCTTTGGTTTGAAGACTTGTGGGCTTCAACTCCCAGAATTCCCCTGGATTGAGGAATTCTGGGAGTTGAAGTCCACAAGCCTTAAAGTTGCCGAGTTTGGAGACCCCTCCTTTAAGTGATAGATCCATTCCTCCTCCGTTACCCTTCTTCCCATCTTCTGGGATGGTCCATTAGGACCGAGTGGTCACTTACTTCTGCTGTTGTCTCTCTGAGATCCTGGAGGCTTCAGCAGCTAATTTCCTGGCGATGAAATCTTCCCTTTTCAGGACTTCTCCACTTCCTCGAAAACCCAGTTCTACCAGTTGGCGGGCCATTTCTTCATTCTGGAGAAGCAAATGGGAATTCAGGCACGCCAGAAGTGGTGGGATGCAGCCAGTGTAACAACCGGTTTGGTGATTGTGTGCTTTGCTAGCACGCACATGAACAGCTTTCTGGGAAAAACTTACCTGCTATGTTACTACTGAGGAGTAACACAGCTGAGGAGTGGCATTCCACTCTGCCGTGCTAATCAGCTGAGGGAATATAGGTAAGTAAAGTGCAAGGGGGTGGGTGGGCAGGCCCACATGATTATCAGAGCAAACACTGCCAGCAGATCGTGGGAGCTAGGGGTTCACCCAAACTAGTCCGAACCGGGAGAATCCCACTCCTGTGCACCAGTAGATTCCAACGACTCTCTGCCTAACTTACAGTACAGTTTTCATTTTGACTGAAGAACTTTGTCATGCCCCTGTTGGAGTCTGAATCTGAGGAGGAAGATGAACAGCTGACAGGGATCAGGAGCGTGGCTCCATTGGCCGTGGAGGAAGCTGGGGAAGGGCAAAGTCCGGCTGGGCAGAGCAGGGGAGAGGTAGAACAAGGGAGAGGGAGTTCAAAGGAAGACCCTGGCTTACCCCCTCTTCATCCTAGGGCGTACAGGGAGGAATGGAAGAGAGCAATGTGGGTTGCATGGCTTACGAGGGAGGAGAGGGCTCTGATTCCCTTCATTAGCTACAGCTGGGAAGACACTTGATAAGAAAGGCAGGCTGCGTGCGGCAGGCTGCTAGGAACAAACGTGACTTTATCCTGTGTTTTCATGGCTTATCTATGTTCCTGGCGTCTTCCAAACTGTATGAGTTTTGCCATGCCTTCAAGCCTGAAATTCTTGCTCGTGCCCTGCCAAACTAATTATTTCAGTTTGGCTTGTTTGGACTTTAAGTTACAGTTTGTGTGTACCTTGTTTTGAACTGAATTTTCTACTCAAAGGCTGTTCCTAGGAGAGTTTTTCTCCAGCCAGAAGGTAACCTGGACATTGAGGGCAAAGCTGGAGATAATAAAGGGACTCTTATTGCTTATCTAACTGTGTTGTCTTTGTGCCACGCCCCGGGTCATCACAAACTTACTTGGATGAGTAACAAAACTCATTTAATAAACTTTGGTCCAATTACCACGATTTAACCTGTTTTAGAGATGAGGTGAACCAGTAGAACACCAGGATTTTAATATTTATAGACGAGCGGAGTTAGTCGAAGTTGTTTTGTGACTTTTCTTGCCACATTCGTTCAAGTGAATCCCTGTGGTTATTAAATGAATCACCTGGTTGTTAAGTGAATCTGGCTTCCCCATCCACTTTGCTTGTCAGAAGGTTGCAAAAGGAGATTACATGACCCCCCCCCCCCCGGGACACGGAAAGCATCATAAATGTGAGCCAGTGGTCAAGCATCTGAATGTAAATCACGTTGACCGTGGGTGGAGGGGGAGGGAATGTTGCAATGGTCATAAGTGTGAAAAACGGTCGTAAAAGTCACTTTTTTCAGTGCCATTGTAACTTCAAACGGTCATTAAGCAAAATGTTGTAAGTCAAGGACTATCTGTATTAATAGGGACTGTAATAGGCATGTTTGTTTCCTTCTGCTACATCATAAAGGATGATGTGTACATCAGAGAACAATACCACTATTATGAGCCATGGTAGCGCAGTGGTTAGAATGCAAGACTGCAGGCTACTTCTACTGACTGCCGACTGCCGACTGCCAACTGCCAGTAGTTTGATCCTGACCGGCTGAAGGTTGACTCAGCCTTCCATCCTTCTGAGCAGTGATGGGATTCAATTTTTTTTTACCACCGGTTCTTGGTGGGCGTGCTTTGCGCACACGCAGAGGGTTTACTACTGACCTTCTCCTGCAATCCTGCACTCTCTGTGTGTGTTCAACAGCTGACGCATGGCAATCCACTGTGCCGCACGAAGCAGCTCAGCTTCAAAACCAAGAAACAAAGGTTAGTATAGAGCCAGGGTGGGCAGGAGGGCCCAGTAGCTGATCGTCGGAGCAAACCAGTTTGCTCACAGATGATCCACGGAGAACAACTAGACACAAAAACAGTTTTTTCCCCGAAAGCCATCGCTCTGCTAAACAAATAATTCCCTCAACACCGTTCAACTATTTACAAAGTGTACACTACTATTACTGTTAATCTTCTCATCACTCCTTATCACCGATCCCCTCCCACTTGTGATTGTAGGACTGTAACTTTGTTGCTTTGATTGTTGATATGATTTGATTGTTGATTGTACCCTATGACTATCATTAAGTGTTGTACGTTATGATTCTTGATTCTTAACGAATGTACCTTTTCTTTATGTATACTGAGAGTATTTACACCAAGACAAATTCCTTGTGTGTCCAATCACACTTGGCCAATAAAGAATTCTATTCTATTCTATTCTATTCTATTCTATTCTATTCTATTCTATTCTATTCTATTCTATTCTATTCTATTCTATTCAACCGAACCAGGCCGAACTGGTAAATCCCTCCCCTGCTTCCAAGGTAGATAACATGAGGACCCAGATCGTTGGGGGAAATAGGCTGATTCTGTAAGACTGTAAGGCTGGAAAGCACCGTGAAGCGGTATATAAGTCTAAGTGCTATTGCTATTGGTATGATGAACGACAATAACAGAGAAAAATAAACGGAAACAAAAGAGAAATGGGGAATCTAAGACAGAAGCTTGTTGCACACATCAGCAAAGGAATAGGGCCTCCCAGGTCCATTGCATCAAATACCCATTTCTGCCAATCAAAAAAAAGTAGACTTGGTGGGGAAACGCTTACACAACTGAGTTAAAGATGCCACAGCTCTCTCTGTGTCATCTACTCTACAGTTTAAGCAGCACCACTTTAAACAAAAGTGAAATAATATTTCCACCTAGTGGCAAACCTGAGGAACCACAGTCCAATTTCATGGACATCCATTAGATTAGGAGGTTCTGGAAAAGGTTGAGGGGAAAAAAAACCTTCTGGAAGACATAATGCAACTTCTGAAGGACATTATGGGAAATAGTGCCCCCCCCCCTTTCTCAAAGGAGTTCAGTAAGGCCAAGCTGGTTATTGCAGGAAAAACCTGCAAGCCACCATCAGAGTTTGAATCTCATCATCTCTCAGAGATGCTTTAGAGATGCTGTTGCACTGAGCACAGGGGGGTTGAGCTAGATGACCTTTAAGGTCTCTTTGAAATGTATTCGGTTTCCTTAATCCCCTAGAATTAAATACATGCAGCTCCAACTCCGACAATCACCAAGGGAGACATAGTTAGGAAAAAGAAACCCTACCCATCCTGTCTACTGTTTTTTAGCATATTTCTCAGGATCGTAAATAAAACAACCAAGCCATGATGGGTAGTCCTCAACTTATGACCATAATTGAGCCCCATATTTCCATTACTAAGCCAGACGGTTGTTAAGTGAGTTTTGCCCCATTCTGCAACCTTTCTGGCCACCATTGTTCAATGAATCACTGCAGATGTTAAGTTAGGAACACAGTTGCTTTGACCATTTAACTTCCTTAGTAAATAACAGAATAGCAGAGTTGGAAGGGACCTTGGAGGTCTTCTAGTCCATCCCCCTGCTGAAGCAGGAGACCCCTATACCAGTGGTGGCTAACCTTTTGGGGCTCCCGTGCCGAAAATGGTGTGCATGCTTGCAGGTAGTCCTCGACTTACAACAGTTCATTTAATCAATGTTCACAGTTATAATGGCACTGAAAAAGTGACTTATGACTATTTTTCACACTTATTGCAGCATTTCCATGGCAACACGATCAAAATTCAGGCGCTTGGCAACCGATTCATATTTATGATGGTTGCAGAGTCCCGGAACCTTCTGACAAGCAAAGTCAATGGGGAAATCCAGGTTCACTTAACAACCGTGTTACTAGCTTAACAACTGCAGTGGCGCACTTCACCACTGTGGCAAGACAGGTTGTAAAATGGGGCAAAACTCACTTAACGAATGTTACACTTAACAGCAGAAATTTTGGGCTCAACTGTAGGTCAGGGGAACCACCTTTACAACAAATTGTGTAAATTGCCACAGGCATGCTGCAGGCCTCCAAGGCATGTGTGTGTTTGTGGTTTGTGTGTGTGTGTGAGAGAGAGAGAGAGAGAGAGAGAAACCACAAGTCTAGGTTCTACTTTTAGGACAAACTCAATGGCAGCTTGTCAAGGATATTGCCAAAATAGAGAGGTTGGTCATATTCAAGGATATTTAAGCTGCGAAAGGTAAGATGCTTTCCCAGATCAATTTTTAGAACGATGTATCCATTTGGGCAACACGCTAAACTAGGTTAGTCCCAAAGGTGCTTTTTTGGGGGGAGGCAACTGGACTTTCTTGTTTTTTCTTTTGAAGATGTTTCCCTTCTCATCCAAGAAGCTTCTTCAGCTCGGACTGGATTAGTAGGGAATGGAAGGATTGATATTCCTTGCAGACAGCTGGTCATTTGCATCCTTTTAGAGGGTCGTTGAGGCCACTTGGAGGTTTATCTGTGTCCTCAGGGTCACCTGAGTAGTGCAAATAGTTCCTATAGTCTGCAATTTTTTCCTCTACAAATCCCTTCCTATTCACACACCGTTCCAAAGGCGTTCATCCCAAATTGTACAGCTCAAAGTCTGTAGAGATGCTCAATCATCCAGGTCATGGTTGTCCCAAAGGTGCTTTTTCAGGAGGCAACTGGACTTTCTGTTTTTTCTTTGAAGACATTTTGATTCTCATCCAAGAAGCTTCTTCAGCTCTGACTGGATTAGTAATGAAATGGATTAGTAATGGAAGGATTGATATTGCTTGCAGACAGCTGATCATTTGCATCCTTTTAGAGGGTCATTGAAGCCACTTGGAGGTTTATCTGTGTCCTCAGGGTCACCTGAGTAGGGCTCCTCGTTCCTGAAGCCTGCAATTTTTCCCTCTGGAAATCCATCCCTACTCCCACACCATTCCAAGGGTGTTTATCCCAAATTGTACAGCTCAAAGACTGTAGAGATTCTCAGTCCTCCAGGTCATGGTTGCCCCAAAGGTG